TTTTGGGATTGACAGTTGAGAGTATTTTGCTGTAAAGACTTAGAGTTTTGTAATAGGGGTGTTCGACTTTTTTTTGTTGTTGTCTTGTATACCCATGGGGTTCTTCTATTATAATTGTCATCTTGTTTGTAGAACTTGGAGTTGGGTACAAAGTTTTAAGGACATGTAAATAGAGAAGTTATAAATTTTAATTCTTAGTTTAGTGAAAATGATAGCTTTGGGGTGTGTTGTTATATTGGTTGTGATGGATTCATGTATGAAATAACAGAGTGTTACAAGCCCTATGGATAAAAATGATCTAGTAATATGACAATCGTTGCTCGATTAATTTGATTTTTTGCATGGATTATTTTCTTAGTTAGTTGTATAAGATGAATTGTTTAAATCACCAAAGTGAGTTCAAGTCTATTCAATAATGAGTCAACTTCACCATGAAGTTGAGATCTTCAACTTCAGACAAGGCCTGGATTGGGGCCGAGTTGAAAAGTTCCTCAGAAGGGCACCCTAGAAATGGACAAGACCTAGATTGGAATCGAGTTACAAAACACTCTCGACGACCATTGGCCAAACAGCAGCCAACAAACCTTGGACAATGACAAGCCCTAGAAAAAAGGCAAAGTATGAATAAATAACTAGAATTAGGCCAAGTAGCCTAGCAGCTAAGGCCTAACCTAGACAAATCACACCTACGCAACCTTTGGAGGGATCATGCCTTGGTTATGGATAAGGCCTAGACGAGCGCTGAGCTGAAGAGCACTCGAGAAGACTACCCTGGAAAATGAACGGAGTACACGAACATACAGATGTGTTAAATCGAGCAGACGAAGTAACTAAGCCACAAAATTGACCAGTCACCGAAGTGAAGCCTCAAAGTACATAGCGTCCTCCGTTATCAGTAGCTGAGCAACCAAAGTTGACTGGGCTTAAAAGCAATGCACCTAATCACATAGAACTTGTCCCCAAACTTGGCTTCTACTTCACCTTGTGAAAGTGGAAGCTATGAGGCAAATGAAGAGAATCAAATTAGTTAAAGCAAGGTTTGAGCTAGGTCAAGCTATTTAATTGGGCTAGACTCGATAGACCACTTTAAAGTAGCCCAAGCAGAAGGTTAGATCAAACGCGATAAGATGCCCCAAGGTAGGGCGAACGAAGAGTTAGACTAAACTTGGTAGACCACCCTAAGATGGGCTGAGCTAGGTGGTACATGCTATTTAGAGACCCCAATTTTTAGAAATTATATTTTAAACTCTAAGTTTCTATGAATTCCATTTTAGCATCCGATTTTGCCAAACTTTGCAATTTAGTCCAACGGGACCTAAATATTTCTTTTATATACATTGTTTTAATTATACATGAATAATATTTTTTTTACTATCTTATAATTTAAAAATAGTCCCTAGCACGTAAATTTATTTTATTTTAAAGCCTAGTTTTATTTTGATTCTTATTGATTGCATTTCTTTTTCTTCTTCTTCCTTATTTTATTATTTTTCTTGTACTAATTGTTATATGTATATATATATTTCAGATGAAGGGTAAATTTATGTTGCCAAGAAAAGAAAATTCAGAAGTCCTCTAAATCCCTTAATTTATAGAGACATGTTTGGACCTCATTCATCCATCAAGTTTCATCCTAACTAAATAAGGGTTAACCCTAATTTCACAGTATGTTTAAGCATCCTAATCAACCTCCATCTCATTTCATTTCAACCAAATCCAAACTAGCCCATTTATTTCTAACCAAGGGTAGAATAAGCCTTTTACCATTTTTTCCCTATAAATATGTGCGAATTTCCCCCATTTCTTTGTATAAGCAGCCATATAGAAGGAGTGAAAGAGAAAAGAAAAAAAGAGAAGAAAAAAAAAGGAAGAAAATAGAGAAAATGAGAATAGAACTTGTGCAACCTTGTAAGAACCCTTTTAACCCTTAATTTCTCCTCTACTACCGCTTCTATTTTGTTTTTTTGTTTGTGTATTTTTGTATTATGCATGTGCGTGGTGAGCCTAGATTAAATAGAAGTAGGGCATGATGCTTGTTTATGGTTTTTAGCCTTGGTTCTGCACAGATTCTGCGTATATGCAGCAACTTCGCCAATTTCTTAAAAATCACACAAAAATAATTTTGATTTGAAATTTTGAAAACCTTTTATGTTTGTGCCTGGACTCTACAAATTTCTTGGGACATCAGATACCCCTTACTTTGTTTTTATGCCATTTTCCCTCACACAATCAAAAAAATAAATAAATAAATAAAATTAAAAAATCCTTCTTGAGTGAGACTAGTGCTAAATTTTAGATCCATGAGATACTTTTCAATGACCACTAATTTCATTTAAAACTATTGAGTATTGAAAGAGTTACATCTTTTTCTTTTTCTTTTTTTTTTCCAAAATACAACGGAAACAAACTAGCCTTGCTTCACGTTGTATTTTCACCCTCTTGCTATGTTTTTTGGGCTTCGAGTTCTCTGATAAAACATCCCTAACTCGAATATCTTTCAAATTAATGATTCAGATCTCACCTTTGTTTGATGTTGTTTGTTCCCTCTTTTTATTTTTTAAACTCATACTACTTGCGTTAGAGCTTGCCAGAACCTACTGTTTGAAAATACTAGTTTTCTTCCAAAAATAAATTCTTCATTTTGACATGGTTTTTAGCTTTGGAGTTCTTCTAGACATGTCTTCCTAACTTAATAAACTACCTCCAAGAAAAATATTGTGATCATTGGATTTCATTTGATATGGATTTCATATTTTTCTTTAAAATCTATCACTATTAAAATTCTAGGAATACTTGTATAATTGTGTATTCTTAAGGTGTATTATGACTATGACTTGTCTACTATTTGTTTGCTATTATGATATCATTTGTGCCTCATTAATAACTCTATTTACTCATGTATTAGTTGATTTGTGTCTGTATTGCTAGTCTTTGATCCCTAAATCGATACACAAATATTCTCTCTCTACATTACCTTCTCTAAGCCACTAACTTTAGCATCGGAGGGATTTTCCAGCCAACCCCAACAAGCAACCCTTACCGGTTCTCTGTCTTGCGGATCTCGGTTCTCAAATAGACCAGTTTGGCCACGGAGTTCCACCTCTTCAACAATGCGGAAATCAGCCAAGTGGTAGAAGAAAATGAATTTGTTCACAATGCACAGTATACTATGTCATAACCCAAAACTGTGGATCCCATATTCGAAAAAGTGTATCAGCCTATTAGGATTTGTGGACTCCGCAATTTTAAACTAATCAAAATATGCGTTTTGCTCTTAAAATCAAACTCACGTTGAAATAAATAAGGGTTAAATTCATATTAGCCCTTGTGATTTGGGGTTAGAATATTTTATCCGTTATTGTTCAATTATAATCAGAAAGTTTCTATGTGGCTTTAAACTAAAGTATTATCATTAATTTTTTCATCCAAACCACTATAAGGTGTATTACGCATACTAATTTTTCAAAAATGTTTCATGCCCCTTTTTTTCCCACCCCCTTTGACTCCCTCTCTCTCTCATTGGTTATATTTTCTTTTTCTTTTTTCTTTTTTTCCTGCTCCTCCAATCACCACCCGCCACGTGTCTGTGGAGGGTTGTGGGGGTGATAAATGGAGGGGGTCTCTATCATGGCTCCTAATTTTTAGAGTGGATTTTGTTTTCTAAAAATTAGAATGAAAATAATACAACAAAAAGACAATTTTATCCATATTTTCTCCAAACCTAAAATTAGATTAACATGATAATTAAATTAAAATATAATTAAGAATTGATCTAAAATATAAAATATAAACAAAAATTGATTTAAAATATAATTAAATAAACTATAAAAAAAAGTAATTAAGAATTGATCTAAAATGTAATTAAATTAAAAGTAGATTAACATGTTAGAAATTAAAATAAATAATTAAGAATTTAGGTTTAATTGTGATCTAGAATATGATTAAATTAAAATTAGATTAAAAAGTTATTAATTGCAATAAATAATTAAATATTTATGATTAACTGTGATCTAAAATATAATTAAATTAAAATCAGAATAAAAATTTAAGAATTACAATAAATAATTAAGAATTTACAATTAATTGTGATTTAATTGAATTAACAGTTACAAAGAGGGGACTGCTCAGCGTTGGTGGTGAGAATCCACTGAGGGAGTTGTTTGGGAGAGGGAAACCGTGGGAGAAGGTTAAGTTGGAAAATTGGGTTTTCAGGGGTAAAGCGTGGTGACAGCACCAGTAGCTCCATTCCCGGAGGCAGAGACAATGCTTGCTGAAGAAGACCCAAAGGAGGAGGCAGCAGCAACAATAGAGGAGGCACTAGTAGCAGTCCCGGCGGAGGTTGAAGCCACGGGTGGTTCTCGGCAGCAATGAAGCCTGAGTGTCCGACTTCGGTGCAGGGTGTTCAGGTCAAGCGTGCAGGGTGTTTGGCATGCAAGCGTGCAGGGTGTTTGGGTCCGGCGTGGGGCTCAAGAGCTTGTGTATCAGTGTTCAGCATTGGGCGTGCAGGGTGGTTGGGCGTGCAGTGTATCAGGCGATGGGCGTGGAGTGCTTCAGGCGTGCAGGGTGGTTGTGCTTCAGTGTTGTGTGGGGCTCAAGAGTTTGTAGTGTTGTTTTTATTTGTTTTTTAAAATATAAAATTGTGAGGCTAAGGGATTGATTGTAAAGATGTGAATAGCAGTAGTAGGAGAGTAAGTTTTTACTCTTCGAATTTCTCTCATAGCGTTTTTTTTCCTTGTACCTTCAAATTTCATGTTTTTAATGAATTTTTTTCTTTGCCGATCAAATAAATAAATAAATAAATTATGTGTATGAAAGATGAGAGAGAAAGAAAATAACAAAAAATATAAAGTTTAAGGGTATTATAACCATTTCATATCTATAATTAATGGTTTTAACGGTGGTATTTTTGTTTAAAACCATATTAGAGACATATTACTATTTTTAAAAGATAAGGGATAAAATACTATCAAGTCATACTACTGGAAGGTAAAATGAATTTTGATCAATAAATAAATAAATACCATAACGTTCCAGCTTGACTGCGGTGTGAAGGACAGTGGAGCCATCATTTTTGGTCAGGGCAGCCATGGCGGTGGTGTTGGTGCTGCTGCGGTTTCTTGCATTGTATACTTTCCACTTGAGAAAATCGAAAACCTCGACTTTTTCATAGACAGCAGCAGAATAAAGAGGAGTCTCTCCAAACTTGTTGCGTTCGAAAACCGAACCTGGATTATTGACCACCAACATTTGTACGAAATTCATGTGACCCAACTTGGCAGCTTCATGAAGTGGTGTGTCACCTTTTTCATTTCTAGGATTGAGCTCATTAGCGGTGAGTAGCCCGACATCAAGAAGTTTTTTCAAGGCCAATGTGTTGTTGCTCATGGCCATGAAATGCAGCATTGTGTTGCCCCTTCCGTCTATCGCTTTCTCACTCGCACCTCCTCCTAGTTGTTGTTGTTGTTGCTCCCTCCAAAACTTGCACAGCACTTCTTCTCCTCCTCCTTCCTTCTTTGATGCTGCTTCATAAGCTTTCAAGAGGCTTACTTGCATGATGTTGCTGTTGTTGCTGCTGCTTCCTATTTTTCTTCTCTTTTTTTTCCTTTAAGATTCAAACAACCCTTCCTTTTATGCAGATATATTGATGGATGGGCAGCAATAAATGAATTAATGAATGGCTATTTATAGATATGAAATACTTGTACTGCTCTTTATTCTCCTACCAAGTAAAGAAAAGAATAACATACAGGTGAAGTACACCGATAGCTTTGTTCTTTATATCGTTTTGATTTTTGTAATTTTAATTTATTTAATTTTTTCTTGAATTTTTTTTATTTTCTGTCAATTTAATCTAATTAGTTACAATGATTTTCAAATGTTCATACTTTTAAGAACAAATTTATAAACTTTATAAATTTGTGAGTAGACCTTTACAAACTTAGTGATTATTTTCTTTCAAAAACCTTAGCAACATTATCAATTGAACAAAATTAACAAAAAATAATTTAGGGCTAAAATTGAGTAAATTGAAAGCGTAACGACCAAACAATACAAGTGACAAAATATAGGGACTATCAATATAATTTATCTTTTAATTTAAAATTGTACAGTATGGATGGGGCCTACTATGTGTTTCCAACTTTTTTTTTTTTGGTAAAGATTTCTAATAAAATTATTCATGTAAAAAATCATATTAATTAAATAATCTTTTTCTTATGATTAACTTAGATTTATCTTTATAAAAACACATAATATATTCTCAAAATCATATTTATTATTTATTTTTTTAAAAAAAATAAATGTGCTTCGATCATATTATCATAATTATTCCATCAATTTAATTTTTTTTAATGAATGATCCGCCTTACAAGTTCAACAATTCGACACATCAAAGTTGACCTCATTGGCCAACCAAATTCTGGATATATAGGAGAGAATCCCTTTTTTCTTGATTAATAAAAAAGTACATAAATAAATTATTATAGGAGAAATTTTACTATACATTTTTCATTATGTCATTTTTTAAAAAATTGTAATTAATTTTCTTATTTAACTATGTTATTATTTTAGTTATAACTCATGAGATATATTTTTTTTTTTTTTTGGGGGGGGGGCAAATTACCTGCAAGTCCTCTTTGAAAGAGGTGTACTCTATTTAATCCCAAAATATTTTAGATAGACCTAAAGATCCTGCGCACCCTTCATTTTTCTCTTTATCTCCCTTTGTGATATTCGATAACCACGTCTTCCTCCTTCTCTCTCTTTTTGATACACAGTTGTCAACGACCACTATCGATTGGGATCTACCGATAACCACCGACCCCCAACTCCTTGCTTTGCCATCACCAATGGCCAAGGAAAAGAGTTTCTGAAAAAAGATAAGTAGATCAACTCAGATCTAAGTAGATTTACATTAGATCCCACTAGATCTAAACTATAACAATAGTTGTTGTAGTACAATCATCTCTCTATATCTATCTCTCTCCTTCGATTTATCACTTTTTTTTTTTACTTTTTCTCTACTATATACTTCTCTTTTCCTATTTTAATGGAATTTTTTTTTTTTTTTTATTCTGAACAAGTTGTTTTTGAATTTTAGTTACATGCAGTGAAAATTGCAAAATTTTTTAATTTCGATTTTTTTTCTATTGAAATGAATCACGTTTTAAAATTGAAAAATTTTATAGTTTCATAACATACTGTAAAAAAAAAAATTAGTTTCATAATATGCTTTTACTGTAAAATTTTATAATTTCATAATATGTTTTTCACTTTAATTAGTAAGAATATATGTTTAATAGAATCATACTTTGAAACTGTAACAGTTTGATTAATATTATAAATTATTTTTTAAACCCTATAAAAATTGAAAAATAACATATTTTTTCCCATTGTTGTTGTCATGTTGTCTTTTCCATTTCAGTTTATCAATATTTAACATGTTTTGTTATACTTTTTTGTTGTAATTTTCCCATTTATTTTTTTTATAATAATATTATGGACATTTTGGTAAGTTCCCAACGATATTCTTGACATCTAGCTAACATTGTGGACATTCCAACAACTTCTAGTGACGTTCAGAACACTCTGGCAATACTCTAACAAATTTCCAACGATACTTTGATGACTTTTCGGTGATGTTGAACATTTCGGTAAGTCTCCGGTGATCGTCTGATGGAAATCTGACGGTGGTGGAATGTAGCAACGTCTTTAAATTTTTTTTTTTTTTTTTTTAAAAAAAATTTGGTAACAATTAAAAATATGTAAGATTAATTAGTATAAATATTTTGTTTTGAAATTGGATAGATTTTATACTTTATATATAGAACCTACCGATAAGTACTCTTTTTTCTTTCAATTATAACTCAAAAATTATAAAATTATATCATTATTTCTTTTAGGCAGCCTTTTCCATTATATAGACAATTCTCATTGATTAACGATATCATTAGGTAGAATGCCATTTATCATGAAGTTTTTCTTTAAAAAATTTATTTAAAAGTGAAATAAATGCATAATATATATTTAAAGTTAGTAAAAGGTTAGTCACATCAGAAATAATTGTGGATCATAAATATACATATTTTGAAGAAGTTTATTATTGTATACAACACAACTAATATTTAAATTTTTTTTTTTTTTTGAGAAATAATATTTAAAACTATTTGATGTTTTGGGTTTTTATTTTTTATTTTTCACTTTTCATTTTTAGTAAACATTTTTAAAGGAAAATTTAAAATTTTTAAGTTTTTGAGTTCAATTTGATTAGACAAATGGAAAAGTAAAAATAAAAAAAAAAATTTTAAGGTCAAGAATTTTTTTTTTTTTTTTGTAAAAAGGCATAAATAATTGGATTTTTTTTGTATTTCTATTTGGACTTTTTTTATAAAAAAAAATTAATTCGTCTACACAAGATATTTTTTTTAAAAAAATGACACAATTAAAAAAAATACTAAAAAAGAAAAAATAAAAATATGACTATTTTTTAAGGTATATATGCCTAGGACTAGCCCTAAAATATTTGTCGCCTAACCCGACAACTAAAAATGAGACCTTTTATGTTTTAAAATTTTTTTTATTAACATTTTTATTGAAAATTTATTTATCTAACTTTCTGAGGTCTTAATCTTTTTTATGACACAATTGATTTAAGATAAAATTTTATCAATATTAATTTTAAATGACTTTTTTACGGGGAAACAACAATTACAAGTATTCCTAATAATCTTTTGTAAGAAATGCATAAAATCTAATCATTTTATATAATACAGTACATCAATTAGAGTGCTTTCTTCATTAGTTTGAGGGGAAAATTGGTTTGAAGAAGAAAAAAAGGAATATTACTTTTTAGTTAGACAGTGAGAAAATAATCTCATTTTTATGGTAGTAATCTCTTATGTGTATGGTGTAAATTTTTTTTAGGTTTACTACAAGTATTTTCTGTATATTAGACTTGCACCAAAAAAAAAAAATCTACCTATAGTATAATTAGTACAATTATTTTAGAACTGTTTCACTAATTTACATATTTTTTTAAAATAAAAATGTGACAGAAGAGAGAGAGAAAGAGAATAGGTTAATCTTTTAGGAGAAGATATTTAATTAATATTTAATTATCTTTTAATCATCTTATGTCTATGCTAACAAGAAATTTTTATCCAAAAATAATAATTTCCTTATAGACATTGTTACATTAGTACGTTTTTTCTTTTTCTTTTTTCTCTTCAATTTCACATTACAGCACAGCAGTAGTTTGATCGAAAATATACCACAATTGAGAGGCTTTTTCTGGGTTAGTTGCCCTGTTTCAACATATATAGGGGGTGTTTGGGAAGAAAAAAAATAGCTAAATTTAGGCTAAAAATCACAAAAAGACAAAATAGGCTAAAATAGCTAATAAGACAAAATATCACATCAAACCCATAATCATTTCACTTTTTCTCTCACAAACATCACATCCAACCACAAAAAAATCCAATCATTTTCCCAAACACAAAAATTTTAGCCTACTTAAAATAGCCAAAAACTAAAATAGCCTAATAAAATAGCCACTTTCCAATATATATTATAGGTGGCCATTGACTTGATAGCCTGCCTAACTCACCTCCATATCTTTAGAAGTGGCAAAAAATATTTAGCTTATTGTACTAGAACGAAATATTGTTCTCCTATAATCTTGTTTATCAAGATTGTGCTCTTCCGTACGTCGTCGCTTTACTCCCTGAAAATACAAACGTGAGTTAGCCGGCGGATGTGTGCCGGATACCTCTCTGATGCCTAAGTCAGCAAAATAGACAAATAAACAAAAACTTTGTGTATTCGGGAATCAAAGTTGTGTTACCTCTTCCATAGGTTATGCTATGAGCTTTTATAGGTTCCGTGTGGTACAATCCTAATAGGACTTTTATTCCTCCACGCATAGTCCTTCTACGAATCATACTCCAGAAAGATAATGCTTATCCTTCAACACCCCCTTCACTACTTAAACCAAGTGAGATGATTTTATCATGGTTGGATGTCAATACGACCGAGCTAACATGATCATGCTAAGGCTACAGATTAGACCGAGCTCCAACTAGCTCAGTTCTTCCTTTCACTGTGTGTACCACGGTTTCTCCTGCCGAGACCGTGCTAACCATAACGAGTTTGGACCGAGCTAATCCGTAGCAAGGTCCTGAGAAAAGCTCAAAATACCTTGGCTCAAAAGGCTTGGACCGAGCTAAATGCTATCACTCTACCAGTGTTGACCGAGCTAACTTCAAAGCTCTTTCTGGACCAGGCTAACTACAAAGCCCTTTTACTCATCCTTTTTTATTATGGCCCACAGAACGGCCCATTACCTAGCTCGGCCCAATTTACAAACAAATTACCCTCTCAATTGCCCCTTAATTCCATCTACGCAGCATAATAGGGATTATCTGTCACCAACCGAGCTAAAAACTTCAACCTTTTAACCGAGCTAGATTCACACCGGGCTACCAATCTGTCCGGTCAAAACGTCTCTTCAGTCGTTGTAACTGAATCGCTTCTCATTCCAACGCAAACTCTTATTGGCACAATGCAGCTGTCCAGCCGTCTTCGTACTTCGCAATATTTGAACAGTCTCGCCTAAAAGCCTTACACCAAACAAAAACCCTATTTTTTGAAT